TAATTATCCCTTCTGTAAGCTACTATACAACAGCAAAAGTTGTTCTGTGTTGGACTTTAGGATCCTAAGGAAAACAGTAAGTCAGAAAAAACACTTGTCTCTTGTCCTCTTAACGCATCAAGCTCCCTATCTCAGGATTTTTGTATCTTATGCTATGAACAATTAGTACTTTAAGGTGTCCTTTATACACTTCCAGGAAGTCAGGAGCAATGGGTTCCCTTCCTGTATCATTATTAGTCATATCTTTGTTAGAATATGGCTTGCAGTTGTGAAACAGCCAAGTGGTTCAGCTGTAAGAAGATGGGGGCACATGTTCCCATTCACACTCACCTGTCAGACACTCAGGGGACTCTGGTGTGAGAGGTGCATTTGATTCCTTTTCTTTGTTGGTGCAGGACCTATGACCCGTGTCTCCAGCTTTCTGAGCAATGGCTCCTGTTGTTACAGGACAAGGCAGAAAGTGGGAAGTCCTGTAGGTAAAAGGATGAAACCCAGTGAGTTTTACCAAACATCAGAAACCAAAGCTCAGAAAGGGTGGTAGACTCTGGATCTGAAAGTGAACAGATACTGTACCTGTGTTCCACCCTAAATACTGGGTTGTTTGATCACCTGAACGTTGATCAGTACCTGATGGCACTGCAGCTCAGGAAATGCATGTGTACTACAGATACGCAGACTGGCAAGCCACAGCTTTCAGTTTTGTGCCAGGAGATTTTTGAAAACATCATTATTTTCTACATGTTTCAGTGAAGATTTCTGAACGTGAATTCTTTCAGAAAGCCTTGATAGCATTTTTAAGCTTTATATGCATCATGATGGCTTTGCTGTTACCAGGATTCCCTTCTCTATTGGAGTCTACTCAAAGATTTCAAAGAACAGAACCCTGAACCTAGCAGCCTTCAGGGAAGGGTCCAAGATTCAAAGTCTGTGTGACACTAAATTCTTCCTTTTTCCTCTTTTTAGTTGCTGATAAGGCTGCCTACCTTATGGGTCTGAATTCAGCAGACATGCTTAAGGCACTCTGCTACCCCCGAGTCAAGGTGGGGAATGAATATGTGACAAAGGGTCAAACTGCGCAGCAGGTAGGGAATGTGGTAACCTGGAACCATGTTTAGAATGAAGATCCTTTTGATTATTCTCTGCTCTGTAGGCATTTATTCTCCTCTAACTCCAGGTATTTGTTTTTCTTATAGGTGCACAATGCTGTAGGTGCTCTGGCAAAGGCTGTCTATGAGAGGATGTTCTTGTGGATGGTTGTTCGTATCAACCAACAGCTGGATACAAAGCAGCCCAGACAGTACTTCATTGGTGTCCTGGACATTGCTGGCTTTGAGATCTTTGATGTAAGTAACAAAGATTAGGTAAGAGCTATTTGGAAGTGAACACTGGGTATTACGATCATTCTGAGACACATTTTTAAAGAACACATAATAACATTACATGACTATTTGCAGCTATTTGCTTTTTTTCTCATGAAATAAAAAAATTATCTTCCAAAAGACTTGTCGTATTTCAGGTTGTACAAACTCAAAAATACAGAATGGTCCAATAAGAAAAATGTCTTGGTTAAAATGATGAAGCACAAGAGAATATAAGAACATGTATACCATGATAGGCCTAAGCTTGATTTTTTCCTCCCTGTAATTTGGTCCCAGATTATACAGGAAATATATTTTATCCTCACATATTTAGCAATGGAAAAAAAAAATCCTTGTGGCCAATTATTTTGATGCATTTCTCCTTATGTTTCATTATATGGACATAAAGCAAACTGAAGAAATTCACAGACTTGACAATGAAGTCAATATAACTGCATTCCTTATTTTTAAAGGATGAAGTTTTGCAATTATTGCTGCCCCATGAATATATGGATATTTCTTATTTCCAGTTCAACAGCTTTGAGCAGCTGTGCATCAACTTCACCAATGAGAAACTGCAACAGTTCTTCAACCACCACATGTTTGTGCTGGAGCAGGAGGAGTACAAGAAGGAAGGAATTGAATGGACATTCATTGACTTTGGGATGGACCTGGCTGCCTGCATTGAGCTCATTGAGAAGGTATCCTTCCTTTGAAATGCACTACATGGGTAAATTCTGTAATTACTTAGTGTCATATTTTCAAAGGGATTTTTTATGTTCATGTCCAACTATTCAGCTTTTGTTACTTAAAATACATTGCCCTGTAGTTTATTCTTTTTCTGTGAAGCGAGACATGAAGGACATTTCACACAGCTTTGTGGCAGCAAGTCTGTACTCATGTCCTTTCAAGTGCCAAAAGATTCTTAAACTCCCAGTAAGACTTGACTCCCAGTAAGACTGTGAGTTTAACTTGTTCTTCCAAACAAGAAGAACAAGTTTAATTTGTTCTTCCAAAACAGTTAGTGCTTTCTCTCTACTATGTCCATATTTCTTTTGTACTGGGAGCTGAGAACTGGGCACAGCACTCCAGGTGGTTCTCATGAGAGCTGATTAAAGGTTGATCAGCTCCCTTGGCAACATTCTTAATGCAGCCCAGGATGAGGTGGCTGCGTTTGCCACAAGGGTGCGTTGTTGTCTTATGTTCAATTTGTCTGAGACATCTGTGTGTGCTCTGATTCTTTAAAGCACATTCTCAACATAAACTCACTTTCCTTTAGTCTTTATGATTCATTTGGGGTTACAGCATGTAAGTATCAATATAGTTAATCTCCCTTTCTAGCAGAAAATGTAATTGAAGTATAATCCTTTCCAATGTGTATCTCAGTCTATGTTGTGCTACTCTGCCTAGTTGAAGGTCATTATTGCCCTGAAAACTAAGTTACAATCTGTCTCCTTTGTGCGTTTCTTCCAGCCCATGGGCATCTTCTCCATCCTGGAAGAGGAGTGCATGTTCCCCAAGGCAACTGACACCTCTTTCAAGAATAAGCTCTATGACCAGCACCTGGGCAAGTCCAGCAACTTCCAGAAGCCAAAGCCTACAAAAGGAAAAGTCGAGGCTCACTTTTCCCTTGTGCACTATGCTGGCACGGTGGACTATAACATCACTGGCTGGCTTGAGAAGAACAAAGACCCTCTGAATGAAACTGTCATTGGGTTGTACCAGAAATCATCACTGAAAACATTGGCCTTACTCTTTGCCAACTATGGTGGAGCAGATACAGGTTGGTCCTATATTTTCACTCATGTACACCTTGAAAAAAGGCATAATGAAAGGCAAAAGTAAAAATCTAAAACCTGTTTTATTTATTTTCAATTTTGCAGAGGCTAGTGCTGGCAAGAAAGGTGCCAAGAAGAAGGGCTCTTCCTTCCAGACTGTCTCAGCTCTTTTCCGAGTACGGTAGAGTTTTCACGGCTTTTTCCTAAGATGAGGGATAGACCCACCATTTAAAATGGCTATTTTGTTCCACTATCCCTCTTGTTTAGACATGTTGGTGTATAGACATCATAATGTTTTGTCTGCTCAATTTGTATACTCTGTGATGGTCTCTGGAGGCACCTGCTTCACTCCATTAACTACAGACAATAATTATTTATAAATAAGTATACAGATATTAATTACAAACCAAGACTAGGGTTCATCTCACCTTATTCTTGTCCACCTTACAAGATAGAAATACAGAAGCATGTCATTTTTGTTGCTTTTGCCTTCAGTTTGCCTTTCAGTAAAACAGGAAGGTTCTGTGTAGTGTTCCATATGACCCATCTTGAATGCCTATTTGTTGTATGCCTGATTATTCAGAAGAACTTTATACATTAAGTTAATAGCAGCAGAGATCTGTGTAAAGTCAGAAAAACTGGTGCAGGGGGCTTCAGGGCTCTGCAAGCTGATTTTTGTCTCATGATCTCATTTCAGAGGGCTTGATGCTTATAGTGGAACTTACATTTGCTAGTACAAACTTTTGTTAATGACTTTCCCAGGAGAATTTAAACAAGCTGATGACCAATCTGAGAAGCACCCACCCCCACTTTGTACGCTGCATCATCCCAAATGAAACAAAAACACCTGGTAAGATACTCACATATAGAAGTTTTTCAGTATGGTCCAGCTCTTCCCCTCTGTATTACAGAACATAGCATATATTTCTGCTCTGAATTGCTAGGTGCCATGGAACATGAACTGGTGCTTCACCAGCTGCGGTGTAACGGTGTGCTGGAAGGCATCAGGATTTGCAGGAAGGGATTTCCCAACAGAGTCCTATATGCAGATTTTAAGCAAAGGTCAGACTGGATCATTTTGTCCGTTTTGAGTAGCTTTGAAATTAAAGTTTCACCTCTGGTGACTGAAGCCTTATCTAAATTTATGTTCACAACAGTTCTTAGACTCTTTCTTGGAGTGTAACAGACAATTGGTCTCAACAGTGGACCTCAGTGGTGTATTCATAGTATCATAGAATCATTTAGGTTGGAAAACACCCTTAATATCAAGTCCAATGCAAGTCTTTCTATTTTCTCCCCAGATATAAAGTATTAAATGCAAGTGCTATCCCAGAGGGACAGTTCATTGACAGCAAGAAGGCTTGTGAGAAACTTCTTGGATCAATTGACATAGACCACACTCAGTACAAATTTGGTCACACCAAGGTACAAGAACTGTTTGTTTCCATTTTTGGTTTGTGTGCCTTGAGAATGATACTCAGATTTTCCAGGTAGCATGTGAAATAATCAAATAGTGTATTTAAAAGAAACCATCTAAATACTTATTTACTCAACACTTGAATAATACTGAAATTCATTACCATAGGATTATTTAATTAAGAGATAAATAAGACTCCTAATTTAGGGCAAAGTTGTAGAGTGAAATAATCAAGGGTTAATAAAAACAAAAGCAAAATGCCTGGCTATTATAATTCCTCAACTGCAGGTAACTGGATACTTGGAGATACAAGAGAGTCTGTCACTACATACCTTTTTTGTGCTTTTGCTCTCTCTCTTAAATCCCATATTATCTGCCATGGAGAATAGGGTACTGGGCTACACTGAATAACAAACACATACACTGCACCTATTTTCTTGTTCGTACCAAAGGTGTTCTTCAAGGCTGGGCTTGTAGGCCTCTTGGAAGAGATGAGGGATGAGAAGCTGGCACAGCTCATCACCCGCACACAAGCGAGGTGCAGGGGCTACCTGAGTAGAATGGCGTACCAGAAAATGGTGGAGAGAAGGTAGACATTTCTTCACATTTAGTTCACTGTATATGGCTTATTAGGTCATCATGGTCTAAATATTTCATATTAATTTGACTTACCTTCCAGAGAGTCCATCTTCTGCATCCAGTACAATATTCGTGCATTCATGAATGTGAAGCACTGGCCTTGGATGAAGCTGTTCTTCAAGATCAAGCCCTTGCTGAAGAGTGCAGAATCTGAGAAGGAGATGGCCAACATGAAGCAAGAGTTTGAGAAAACCAAGGAAGAGCTTGCAAAATCTGAGGCAAAGAGGAAGGAGCTGGAGGAGAAAATGGTGAAACTGGTGCAGGAGAAAAATGACTTGCAGCTCCAAGTGCAGGCTGTGAGTACTACCAGTGTGCCTCATCCTAAGTGCATTGTGACTAGCAGGCTGTTATTTAGAGCTACATTTTCAAAAGATGCATAGAAATTACAACTTAATTAGATTAAATTCAATTGTATTTCATTAAGCGGTACTCTTAAACATATAACTACCTTCAGTAAGGACACAGAAGGCTGCAGTTAATATAATACATGGGTGAGATTTTTCTGAGGTCTCTATCATTTACATTCAGTTAAACTGCATTAGAGCAAACAGGAAACATTTTCATTTATTGTATAATGTTCTAAGATTTTTTTCCTACATCTCCAAAATTGAGTATAACAATCCCTACGTAAACCTGATTAGGAATTCCTAGGACAACTTAAAAGGACATCTATTTCACATGTTTATCCTCCAAGATAACTTGTTTCTTACCAGTGTAGGTGGTGATATATGTTACAAACATTACTATGTTGTAATACTGAACTAACTGAGAGGAAATGGAATTTGATATTCTCACTTGCTCTCCTAAATCATTCAGTATCATTACATAAAATTATGTGCTACATTTAAAGTGTTGTCATACTGTTCCCTCTAAATGAAATCATTCACAGAATAGAAAAATCTGTATCTTCAAAGTAACCCTATGTACCATATGTGGCATATAGGGTATTTTTATGGCTCACTTTTTAAAGTATCTTGAACTGTAAAAAGATGAAAAATCCACCTGCTGCGAAGAGTACCTTTCTTTCTTTCATATTATTTCTGCTAGACTGAGTATTGAGACAAAGTATAACATAACCCAGGACATCTGTTGCAAAAAAAAAAGCCTAGAGACAAATTTCCCAGCAACCCTTTTTCTTCTTACGCAATGAGAGTATTGCATAGAAAATCCAACTCTGTTAGATGAGTATTTTTGGGCCATGGTGATGAAAATCTTAATCAGAAATGGTTGTTCCAGAAAAACAGTACAGTTAAAAATACATGGAGAAATACAGGAATCATGTAAGCATAGTTGTGACTTTGGTATTTATATGCAGCCAGGAGTACAGTTATGACTTGGCACTCCGTAAGTATGGGAGACATTCCTATGATTAAATCCAAATTATGTACTTTGTTCTAATGTTTGATATTATGGGATAATGTTGGATCCAATACCTTGCAGAAATATATAAATACATGGATATTATGTAGATTGAAAAGAATTTTATTCAGTTTTAGCTTTCAAAATTGGTTGTTTCAAAGCTAACAATATGCAGTCAATTCTGTATTATATTTCATTCTGTTGGAACATAACCCAGACTTTCAATGACAAATTTGCTATACAGGATGCTGAACTATGAAGGTAAGCACCTCAATATTCCCTCAAAAAATGTATCCCTAAAAATGCTATTTTCCTACCAGGAAGCTGATGCTTTGGCTGATGCTGAGGAAAGATGCGACCAGCTCATCAAAACCAAAATCCAGTTGGAAGCCAAAGTGAAGGAGGTGACTGAAAGGGCTGAGGATGAGGAGGAAATAAATGCTGAGCTGACAGCCAAGAAGCGGAAACTGGAGGATGAATGCTCAGAGTTGAAGAAAGATATTGATGACCTTGAGTTAACACTGGCCAAGGTTGAAAAGGAAAAACATGCCACTGAAAACAAGGTATAAGGCAGAAGATGTCACTATCACTCCAGATAAGATGGTTTTTATAAGCAATAAAGTTTGAAACATTTTTCATCTACACTTGTTTCTTCTCAAAGGTGAAAAACCTCACAGAAGAGATGGCAGCCCTAGATGAGACCATTGTCAAGCTGACAAAAGAGAAGAAAGCCCTCCAAGAGGCCCATCAGCAGACACTGGATGACCTGCAGGCAGAAGAGGACAAAGTCAATACACTGACCAAAGCTAAAATCAAGCTGGAGCAACAAGTGGATGATGTAAGAACACAAGAATATAGCAAGAACAGGACAGATATGGGGTTGGACCTGCCTGGTAGATTTGTGGTCTTGTTTCTTTTAGCTTGAAGGGTCCCTGGAGCAAGAGAAGAAACTGCGCATGGACCTTGAGAGGGCCAAGAGGAAACTCGAAGGAGACCTTAAGCTGGCCCATGACAGCATCATGGATTTGGAAAATGATAAGCAGCAGCTGGATGAGAAACTGAAGAAGTAAGCGTGGTGTGAAGCATGTGAGTGCTGGGCTGGTGTGCTTGTCTTTTTTCTTTCAGCTCTAACATGGTTTTCTTTGCCCAAAGGAAAGACTTTGAAATCAGCCAGATCCAGAGCAGAATTGAGGATGAGCAGCTCCTGGGCATCCAGTTGCAGAAGAAGATCAAGGAGCTGCAGGCAAGTCTCTGTTCTTTCCTCTCCTACACCCATCCTCAGGTCAGATAAGAGGAGGGCATGGGTGTGAAGAGTCCCTGATGTTCCCCAGGCTCGCATTGAGGAACTGGAGGAGGAAATTGAGGCAGAGCGAACCTCTCGGGCAAAAGCAGAGAAGCATCGGTCTGACCTCTCGAGGGAGCTGGAGGAGATCAGCGAGCGCCTGGAAGAAGCAGGAGGGGCTACAGCAGCTCAGATTGAGATGAACAAGAAGCGTGAGGCCGAGTTCCAGAAGATGCGTCGTGACCTCGAAGAGGCCACGCTGCAGCACGAAGCCACGGCTGCTGCCCTGCGCAAGAAGCATGCGGACAGCACCGCTGAGCTTGGGGAGCAGATCGACAATCTGCAGCGAGTGAAGCAGAAGCTGGAGAAGGAGAAGAGTGAGCTGAAGATGGAGATTGATGACTTGGCCAGTAACATGGAGTCTGTCTCCAAAGCCAAGGTACACAAATACTTTGTCTCACTTATTAATTATTTGAAAACAATCTAATACTTGTGTTAATTTTATTTAGCTATTATCAAGTTTAATATAACTATTTTCTCCAAATCTAATGCATAGAATTGTGTGCAATGCGTAGATATATAAACTGCATCTCTGGACACATTTTCCTGTTGTAGCAAAGTCAGAATTGAGGTATTAACTCTATTTTCTTATGTGTGATTGGCACCTAGGCAAATCTTGAGAAGATGTGCCGCACTCTGGAAGACCAACTAAGTGAATATAAAACAAAGGAGGAGCAGAATCAGCGCATGATTAGTGATCTCAGTGCTCAAAGAGCTCGTTTGCAGACAGAATCTGGTATGGCACTTCCTCCTCTGGTTTGGAAATGGGATAGAAACCTGGGGGAGTTAGACAGAAGTGGCAAATCACTGCCTGGGAATAGCTGGGTATGGCTCAGCAGGTGGAGAGCAATTATATTGAGCATCACTTGGGATTATTGTTTGGCTTTATTTTTTTTAATTGTAGTTTTCTTTTTGTTATCCCATTATTATTACTATTATTATTTCCTTAACTTTAACAATTAGACTGTTCTTATATCAACCCATGGGTTCTACCTTTTTTCCAGTTCTCTTCCCCACCCCACTGGAAGATGCAGGCTGTGTGGTACTTAGTTGCCAACTGAGGTTAAACTGTGATATGGGACAACCCTGTAACTGACTTTTGGATGTTAAAATAGCTTCTTAATTGCAAACTTTTCCAGGTGAATATTCACGCCAGGTGGAGGAAAAAGATGCTTTAATTTCTCAGCTGTCTAGAGGGAAACAGGCTTTCACCCAGCAGATTGAAGAATTGAAGCGGCAACTAGAGGAAGAGATAAAGGTGAAGATATTTCATGTTAAATGTGAAATAAATACTTTGCATTACACAGTTTTTGTTCACTGTGCATGAGTTCAAAAGCAGATCACATTAGCTCATGTAATTGAAATCCTGTCAGTGCAGAATTCCCAGCTTTTTTGCAGTATGTCAGACCTTGGTTTATAAAAACAGTGAGTTAATCACAAGTTCTCTGGGATATGTTCCAGAGTCTAAGTACCACTAAGAGAAAAATTCCCAGGATACATTTATTCCTTATGGCAACGATTTTATCTCCAGGCCAAGAACGCGCTGGCCCACGCCTTGCAGTCTGCTCGCCACGACTGTGACTTGCTCCGGGAACAATATGAGGAGGAGCAGGAAGCCAAGGCGGAGATGCAGCGCGCCCTGTCCAAGGCCAACAGCGAAGTGGCCCAGTGGAGAACCAAATACGAAACGGATGCTATTCAGCGCACGGAGGAGCTGGAGGAGGCCAAGTACGTGGGGAAGTTGGGCAAGACAGAAAGTGACTGAGAATAGAAATTTCAGGAGACTACTGTGATATTGTCAGGAGGAAGTCAATGCTATGCTTTAGGATGAGGTGGCAGGAAATGAGAGAATATAACCAAGAGCAGGTATGCATGGGGTAAGAGCAGAAGCAGCAAAGCTCTTCAGATGCAGAATAGCAGAGAGTTGCTGGTGTGAGTATCAGAGTGAATAGCATGGCATGAATTCCTTCAGCCCTGGATTCAGACATAGAAATAACAGCGGATGGCTGGGGGATACCGTACATCTCTGTGTAAATGGGGATCACACACAACCAAGTGGCATAGGGTGCTCCTCTGATAAACATACTGGCTGCCCATCAGAGGCTCCTGTTTGCTTCCTCACCTGGACCTGTGCTTACCACCTTCCAGAAAGAAGCTGGCACAGCGCCTGCAGGAAGCAGAGGAACATGTTGAAGCTGTCAATGCCAAATGTGCCTCCCTGGAAAAGACAAAGCAGAGGCTGCAGAATGAAGTGGAGGACCTGATGATTGACGTGGAGAGATCGAATGCTGCCTGTGCAGCGCTGGATAAGAAGCAGAAGAACTTTGACAAGGTCTTTCAGGCTCCAGACTGGGGGCTCCTGGGCAGAGCATTCCCTCCTCATTGTCACGTCCATACTGACACTCGCTTTCTCTTCAGATCCTGGCAGAATGGAAGCAGAAGTATGAGGAAACACAGGCTGAGCTGGAAGCCTCCCAGAAGGAGGCCCGCTCTCTCAGCACGGAGCTGTTTAAGATGAAGAATGCCTATGAGGAGTCCTTGGACCACCTGGAAACGCTGAAGCGCGAGAACAAGAACTTGCAGCGTAAGTCCCTGGCCCTCTGCTCCTGGCAGGGCTTTCTCAGCACCCCCCAGTACCTGTTGCTTCACATGGGTCTGTGCCTTCAGGGGGAAAAGATGCCTGTCACGTTGGTGTGTGAGGGCGCTTCCCATTCTGTTCTGTGGCCAATCATGCCATTGGTCGTTGTTCCCACAGAGGAGATTTCTGACCTCACGGAGCAGATTGCCGAGGGAGGAAAAGCGATTCATGAGCTGGAGAAAATCAAGAAGCAGATTGAGCAGGAGAAATCTGAAATCCAGGCTGCCTTGGAGGAAGCTGAGGTAAATGCCAATAATCACTGGTTTCTGCACTAAAAATATGAGCAATGGGCAAATATGGCTAAAAACTGCCTGGTAATAAATATTCTGTAATTACCTAGAAAGCTATATCAACGTTCCAAATGTTTGCATCCACTTTTCCAGGCCTCCCTAGAACACGAGGAGGGGAAGATCCTGCGTCTCCAACTTGAGCTCAACCAGGTCAAAGCTGAGATTGACAGGAAGGTAGCAGAGAAAGATGAAGAGATTGATCAGATGAAAAGGAATCACCTCAGAATTGTGGAGTCCTTGCAGAGCAGCCTGGATGCTGAGATCAGGAGCAGGAATGAAGCCCTGCGGCTGAAGAAGAAGATGGAGGGAGATCTGAATGAAATGGAGATCCAGCTCAGCCATGCCAATCGTGTGGCTGCTGAGGCACAGAAGAACCTGAGAAATACGCAGGGAGTGCTCAAGGTTTGTTCAGCAAAGCTACAGAAAGAGATACAACATCCCTGACATTTTTGACACCCACTCTCAAACACTGTAATTTCTGTTGCCTCTTTTACAGGATACTCAAATACACTTAGACGATGCTCTGAGGACACAAGAGGACCTGAAGGAGCAGGTGGCCATGGTGGAGCGCAGAGCAAACCTGTTGCAGGCTGAAATTGAGGAGCTCCGGGCATCTCTGGAGCAGACAGAACGGTCCAGAAAATTGGCTGAGCAGGAGCTTCTGGATGCCACTGAACGTGTGCAGCTCCTCCATACCCAGGTCAGGGCATGGTGCAAAAGCAGTTCTGTTGACACTTACCAAACAGTGCTGCTATATACCAGAGGATAGGGAATACTGGAATGGGCTATTTACTGCTGTTCACAGCCATCACTTGAGGCCATCACTGGCATTTTGTAAACAACCATTTTACAAAGATTCCAGATTTTGAACTGCAGACTTGAAGAGTAAAGAGTTGGCTGCTGCTGTAGGTCTCATATTGCAGGCTTTATAATAAAAATCTTGCCATTTCTCTTTTCACAGAACACCAGCTTGATCAACACCAAGAAGAAGCTGGAAGCAGACATTGCCCAAATTCAGGGTGAGATGGAAGATACCATCCAGGAAGCCCGCAATGCTGAAGAGAAGGCCAAGAAGGCCATCACAGATGTGAGTTGGGGGCTCCTTTCATTGCTGATGGTGGATGTATTATCCTCAAAAATGTCTCTAACCCCTAAAGGGCTTTGATCCTTTGCTCTCCTCAGGCAGCCATGATGGCAGAAGAGCTGAAGAAGGAGCAGGACACCAGTGCCCACCTGGAGAGGATGAAGAAGAACCTGGACCAGACAGTGAAGGACCTGCAGCTCCGTTTGGATGAGGCTGAGCAGTTGGCACTGAAAGGAGGCAAGAAGCAAATCCAGAAGCTGGAGGCCAGAGTGCGTAGGGCTGGTGTTTGTGCAAGAGTGAGCATGTCCCTTGGAGAGATAGCAGGGAAGCTCCAAAGATGGTCTTGTGTTTGCAGGTGCGGGAGCTGGAAGGGGAGGTTGATGCTGAGCAGAAGCGCAGCGCTGAGGCTGTGAAGGGTATGCGCAAATATGAGAGGAGGGTGAAGGAGCTGACCTACCAGGTAAGGCAGGTGGTGTCCTTGGGCTAACACACATCCTTGCAGGAAGTAAAAATTTTTGCACCTAATTGCCAAGGGGAATTGCTAACTCTGGTGGTAGGGAAACCAATTTACTCTCCTGTTTTCCGAACCTTTTAGTCTGAGGAGGATCGGAAGAATATTCTCAGGCTCCAGGATCTGGTGGACAAGCTTCAAATGAAGGTGAAATCCTACAAGAGACAATCTGAAGAGGCTGTAAGTATCACTCTCACTGCATGGCAAGAAACACTTTCTAATTGGGTAGAATGGTCATTGAGGAGATGAGTATAGGAAACTTGGAAAGTGTCCCTGGTCAATAATGGAGTTCTTCAGATTCTGTGAAATGCTTATACGGTAGCCTAGCCTTTGAGAATGAAATCAATGAGCAAATAAGGAGGCTAATTGATTTTTTTGCATTAGAACTAAAGCAGATTTGAAATTCATACAAGTGACTTTACAAAAGATGTCTGTGACCCTGGAGTTCTGAGAAGCTTGCTCGTTATTACAAAGCAAAGGACTTGCCAAAACTCCAGAGTTCTGTGCCTAGGACTACTGTGCCTAGGAGCTTTGTGTAAGAAATCCTGTCATTCACTATATGCTCATCTACCACAGGGGATGCCACATTTTATATATGGCCGGAGCAATTTCAGCAGGTAGAGAAGGTGTCTGAAGTATGCCCATAAACCATATTGAGCACTGCAATTAGAATTGTGCAAGGAGCCTTTGCCCTTTTCTCAGCATGCAGTCATCAGGGATGGCCTGAGGGAAGCCCTGAGGTCCCTGAATTTATGAATGTCTCAGCTTTGCTTCTTTGCTGTTGCGAACAGTCCACTACAGTTAAATTTTCTGGACTCATAGGGACACTGAGGTAATTTAGGAGATACCTGAGGAGTTATCAGGGATACTTGGGATACTGAGGACATATCAGGGGCTCAGTGTCACTTACGCATTCCTAGCCCTATCTGAGGGTCCACAGAGGTAGCTGGACATTTAATTCCAGAGCTAACAAAATCTGATTTCCAGCTGCCTAGTTTGTTCCCTTCCCAAACTGGAGAGAAGTATTCTTTTTAAAGCCTGTTGTGCGCAGTCTACATGTGTCTGCTAAAAAGGGGGAGGATAAGGAAGTCTGTGTGAGGCTTATGTTTCAGCAGTGTGGATGGGGAATGGAGATTTGTGCCTTCCCTCAACAAAGACCTGCAGTCCCGCAAGGCTGAGGTGTAGAAGGGGTGAAACCCCTGCCCTGGGCTCCTCACCACCAACTTCCTCTCCCGTACAGGAGGAGCTGTCCAATGTCAACCTCTCCAAGTTCCGCAAGATCCAGCACGAGCTGGAGGAAGCTGAGGAGCGGGCTGACATTGCAGAGTCCCAGGTCAACAAGCTCCGAGCCAAGAGCCGGGATTTCCACAGGAGGATAGAACAGGAAGAGTGAGGCTGTCATGAGGCAGCAAAGTGACCTGAGGGCTGCACAAAATGTGAACCTCTTGGTCGCTTTCTTCTGTAATGAGTCTTTGTACCCACCCTAATGTCTAGAGAATAAAGACTGTAGATTCCTCTGCATGCACACTATAAATGGGTGCCGCCTTTGTTTTTGTTTTTTTTTTTTCTGATCAAGCTAGGGATACTGCATTGCAGAACAAGTTTTCTCACTTTTCCTGGTTTGAGGAAGGGAGAAGCTAGTGCAAACCCTGTGTTAAGAACCCATAAACTTAGAGGCTGTCCATTCCTGTGGAGTCTACTGGTAGTCTAGCCTGTTCCATCTCCACAAGCTCCTTGCCCTGCTTCTGCCCTTCTCCCATTGTCCTTTCATCACATCTTACTTCCCATGTGAGAGGCAAGAGAGGCTGATCCCTTTCCTTTTTCCTTTCCCTGCTATTGTCTGTCATCCTGGCAGTCACAAATCCTAAACATCAGTTATCAGGAGTTCCAGTGCAGTGCACCATGAACAGCCAACATTTTTTTGGCAGTCAGGGCATTGTCAGGAAACACTGATAGTGCCTCTAAGTTGTGCCACTATCTTATCTGAAGATCCTCTCAGCTGCTTCCACCCCTGCTCCTGGTGGAAAGACTGTCCCTTCAGGCACTGCATGGCACCTTCTCAACACATCACCTCTATTCCTTTCTCACATACCGTACCTTGCTTCTGGCCTTCCTACTGGCTAAAGAGACAATATATTCTGGAGAAGAAGGGAAGGGGGGAATTGTTAAACACTTTTTCCTTCATTCAGACGATGTTCTGAACAGCACAGGCACAGTGGGCATGTGCAGCTGTGGTGTCTCATGTGCTCTGTCAGCCATCTCAACTGGATTATTCCGATGCATTAAGCCTCACGTCTAGTTTGGGTGTAGGACACACGCACAATGTCAAGTTATGTTGTAGACAAGCCCACCAAATGTCTGTGTAAGATGATGTGTTCATACAACCTATAGTTGCCTGCTTCCAAATAATTTCTGTCCCTTCTTTTCAGGGAGACCACACTGCCTTGGATGATTTTCTCAGGAGCCTCACAGCCTGCAGGGCTGTGTCTACAGTGCATCAACCACAGGTTACCAGTAGCTGAGGGCTGTTTAGTTAATTTGGAAATCCTTTTGGCCATATCAACTTACAGATTTGCATGCACTGCTGCAGCTCTACCTATCTGAAGTGTTCACTGCCAGGGACCCCAGGTGACTCCAGGCTGCAGGAGCTCTTGATGCAGACCGGTATGGAGGAAACGAGAAGCACTTTAAGAGCAACTGAGGAGTGAAGTGCAGCTGGCACTAAAAGGAAAGAAGAAGCAGACTCAGGAGCAGATGTCAAGGTACGTATTGGTGTTGAAAACTTGTGACAGTCCACAACTTGGCACCTGTATCTACTGAACATTGGTACAAAGTGCTAGTATTCAGAAGCAGATGCCCAACTTTGTTCATCCCTTCTTATCCCGTGCAGCCGTGCTTTTGCCTGGTGGCATGCATTTGTTTACCACCACAGCCAGGTCTCTCATGGAAGCCTGCTTTCCCAAACCCACCTATGACCTAACTGCATCCTCTAGATGGCCCCAAGAATCTCTAGCCCCACCTGCAGGCATCTCCAAGAGCTTCAGGTGGGGCTGGATAAGGTCTAGATGACACCCAGGAGCCAATAAGTACTCCTGTTATCTGTAATGGTGTGTACAAGCATAAACTACTGAGGCCCTCTGAAATCCTGCTTTACAGACCTTCTGCTATCCTTTGCCCCACAGTTCCTCCATCATGGCAACTTGAGGATGGGTGATCAGAATGAAGGAATGCAGCCAGCAAAGCAAGCCAGGCATATGGAAGAGAAAAGGAGGATTGAACAAGCTGATGTCTTCTGGCCACACTGGTAAGTGTAAAGCCTGGATAGTTTTTCTATTTACCTCTATAAAACCACTGTCATAAAGGGCATTGGGAAAAGACAGGCACTGAAGAAGCAGCTCTTGCATGACTGGTATGACTGTCTCTTCTGATCTATCATAGCCTTTCTCAGACAACTTTAAAAAGTCAGCTGTTTCTTTTGGTAGCTTCCTGTGTGTTTCACTTGCATGCAGATACACAGTCTCTGGTTTTGTGTAGCTTACATGCATGTGGTTGAACATGAAGCAGGCAGCCACGTGCCTTAAGCTCAGGGACAGGTACACGTCTTCAGCCAGGACTTGCCGTAAGCATGGGCAGTGCTGATGGGTTGAGGTTCAGCCTAGTGTCCCCAGCAAATTCCCAACTCCCTCCTGGACCCCTCCTCCTGGGCTCTGAGGTCCCACAAATCCACCAATCAGCCTTCCCAAGAATCATTCCCAGGGGAGGAGACAGGGCCACAGAGAGCTCTGGAGGTGGGCCATGCCAGGAGGACCAGCCTGTCATGTGTGTCCCTTCAACCTCAGTGTCAGGAGCTCAGAATAGCCCTGCTCTCACAAGACTCCTGCCCAGGGTCATGCCTGTTTGTGGAGATGATCCGTTTCCACTAATAGCGCTCGAAGACATTCCTTGGCGGGTAGGTTGCCTTCTATATCTCAGCACAACGTGCTGCCATGCAGGAGCTGGACAACTGTGGTGTGTCCTAAGATGGCAGATGCTATTCTTACCGCAGAGAGACTTGCTCCGGCACATCTCCTTGCTCAGCTGAAAGGTTCAAAACCAGAAGCAGGCATGAGTGTGCTTTCTCTGCTAAGAGACAGATCAAGAGTGGCCCCTCGGGAGCCTGTGCAATGAGGCTGTGCCAACCCAGCACCTGGGTGCTCACCGTGCCCCCCATTGGACATGCTGTCCCACGGGGAACACAGCAGCTGCCCAGGTACTTCCAGCAGTCAGCCAGGGCCCACTTTGAGGTGAATGGAGGCATTCATTCTCTTGTAAAACAATGAACAAAAAAGGTGAGCTTTGCCATAGCTCTGAATGTGCAGAATTTTACAGCTGTCTCCTCTTGAGTCATTGTCTGGGTGAGGAGGAAGGCAGAGGCAGGGCTTGCTCCGTGGTTCATCAGCCTTGAGAAGAACATGGCTCTTCTTTTGCTCAGGCTGTGCTTTCACACTGCAAGAAGACGTTTGTGCTGTACACCAGAGATCCCTCAAGGGCCACTGCTGTATCAGGGCTGCAGAAGCAGCCCTGGCCAGACCGGTGGCTGTCACAGGGAGACCCAGCTCTGCCTGCAGCCTGGCTCCACAAGCCCTTGGGAGAGCTCGGTAGAGCTGGAGTCACTGCCTGGTTCGGTCACCACAAGCAGTCAGGCTGAGGAAATGGAGGTCCAGAGACATCAGCTGGGCCAGAGGCTGTGCCTTTCGCCTCAGCACTTGGACTGTGGTTCAGAGGACACGGGCCCCTGCAGCTTTATTCTCAGCTTGGTCTTGTCACCTGACACTGAAGGGACAGACAAGTACTTTTAGGGATCCTTGGCAGAAACACGGTGGCTTCATTCCCACAGGGCACCGGTGGCAGGGCTGCAGCAGCTCCTATCAGTCGCACGGAGCTCAGCCGGGCCCGAGGCCCCATTGCCAGGGGGTGGCACCATGGAGCCGCCGAGGTGGAGCCTCCAATGGGCGCCTGGTCGCTGCAGACCAGCAGTCCCAGCAGCCGGGTTAAACCGCAGCCTGCAGGGTCAGTCAGTCTCATGTGTTCTCCACTGGGACAGGACAAAGATAGCTGGAACGGGCCAAAGAAGGCCTGGAACTGCTAAGGACATAGTTCTGAACGAAAAGACCCTGAGCTGACAGGAGCAGCCACTGGTAGTGTGTCCTTTGGGAAAGGTGGTATCTAAGAACTTTGCAGGGCATAGTGAGACCAGACTTAAAAGTAGCTCTGGAAAACTGGAGTAAGTATCCTCTTATTTTCAGAAGGAAATTTAATGAAGGTAAACAGAGTACTTTTGGAGGATGAAATCAGACAGGGAAATGCACGGGCTTTTTCATCTGAGACAGGGAGAAAAGGAATTAAGGGCAACATTTTATCCAACTCAACAATGTCAAACAGTTGCAAAAATGGCTCATCTTATTACTGCACATATTGGTATAAGTATCCTTTGTATACTGCTGGATGTGAATGTTTGCTTTCCTCAGCAAGGGCTAATCTCAGTGTTAGTCTACAATATCCCCAGTAGAGCTTAATTTGTAGGCGTCTTCTGAAAAATAAATGTAATTTTAAGAGTAAGGAGGAAATAAACCAGAATGACAAATATGAAAATTGTGACATAGAGAAAAGGTATGGATAGAACTTCATGTTTTAAGTTATGAGACAATAAATGTAAAGACTGGGTATAGGAGTATGAAAATATTTTTTTCAAATGTAAAAGATTTTCAGTAAGGAACATAGAAGGTTATATTGCCAGGACTGTAACGGGTTCGTTTGAAGTGAAAAGGACTTGGAGTAAATATTCAGGAAATATTTGAAAGAGAAAAAGTGTATGGTAAAACAGTAGATGTATAGTATTTCATTATCTCCTTTATGCTTTTAAGTCTCTGTTTTAGACATGCATCTCTGAAAGGCTGTCTAAATATGGATGGTATCATATGCACTTTTACAGAAAAATAACAAGTGTATCAGCAGCTTTCATGCAACTGAAACTGTGATGTTCCTCATGTCTATTTTTATGTTTAATTTCATAGTCAGCTACTGATCTTGCCTAGGGAAGGTGCTAGAATTTCTGAGAAGGTGTATATACCCCACTCTGCCTCATACCTAGCAAACTTAGGTAGATGTGTTAATACCTGAAATTTTATTTTTATATATTAAAAGCTCCTTTTCCCAGTTGGAAAGAGTTCCCATTTTAAGGTTCTGTTTGTTTGCTTCCCTGAACAACAAATTTTGTTTGGGGAATACACTCTAAGGTTTGTATTTGATTTATAAATTTATATGTAATTAAACTTTAAAAATGGATTAATTAAAATTATTTTTAATTCATTAATATATCAATTTAATAATGTAAAGTAATTTAATTGAATTTAACTGATCAAATTTAAATTTCCATTTAATATGTACTTTAGGTTATATATATATAGGGTAAATAATTTGCCTTTAATTTAAGACAGAGTGTAATCACCCTTTAAAAATGAGAACTCTTGTTATGACACTGTTTTTAAGAATTCTTTAACATGTAAAAAAATACCTTTCTAGTGATGCAGTATGAATTTTAGCAGTGTGGTAACCTAGACAGTATATATCACATATAGCTGGAACATAAAGGAAAAAAAGCTGTATTGTTAGGTTTTCTTTCATGCTGAATTAACAGCACTCCTCTCTTGAGGAGGCCATAAATTATGATGAATTACCAGGATGCAAATAGCATACCAGGGGGAGGGAAACCAAGGATTCCTTCCTCTTGGTTATTTATTGCCATAACATATTGCTCCAAAGTGGCTGTAAAGGACAGTACTGAAGAGAAAGTTTAAATCAGAAACATTGCATATGTTCAACAGAACTGCTGCCCCATCGCAGAGGATCTCAGATACTCTGTGAACTCCTAGACTAGAGGGACATCGTTATCTCCTCAGCTAGCTATTCCAGGCTACCTGGTGGCATGTCATCATCACTGTCTCCTGCTGGAGCTGTTCTGCCTTACACAACTGATTTGCCCTTCACGAGGAGCAGGGACTTGTATCTTTCCCTTGCCATCTCAGAAGGATGCAGAGAGAAATTAAGGAAACACTTAGGCTGACACCAAGGAAATCTGTCTGCTAATTTTACATAGGAGGCTGTGGTAGAGTCTCTGAAGCGGCAGGACCCATAGTGTTTGGGAAAAAAAAAGTCCCTTGAAATGCTACAAGAAGAAAATCCTGTTGTAGTATAAATATGTACTGCAGATTAACTGTAGCATAGTCTAATTTAGCATCTGCGAGATTCTCCCTGCAGTTAAATCACTATTTTTACTTCCTCAAATGTGTGACAATATGAAAATTTGGATAAAGTGCAAAGAGGATATATTATTTCTAACAGTCTAAGATAATAATAAAAGGAATTCAATTGCATATGGGAATGTTTGCTTTCTATGAGTTAGCCTTTGTAAACTGCCATATGTCCAGGGAAGAGTTCATGGGTTCAAAAAATGTTTGGAGAAATTAATCAGCTGAAAATCCATCATGAGCTTTTAAATACTCAGATACAGTGTCCTGCCCAGGACAATAAATACAAATTACTGAGTATTTAGAGAAGTGCTGCTCTACGTTGCCTTAGGCAAGAACACACTCCTTCCTGGGCATCACTTTCAAAGACGTGGACCTTTGATCTCATAAGTGCAGCTTATTTTAGGTTATGCTACAGTTGCCTGCAGGTATTAATGCCATGCTTCCTCCTTACTTTGCTTTCCTTCCCCTTCCTTCCTCCTCTTCTGGCTGCTTGCTCTTTCAATTACCTTTTTCTACCCAAGTGGTTGCACAGCTTGCCCACCCCACTCACCTGCTGTGTAACAGGAGACCCTCAGCTGCTTTGATGGGTGATAGAAAGGGCATCCTGAATGTCATCTCCTTGGCCAGAATTTACTGCCCAGATCTTTTCCACTGATGTTAGCTGTGGAGACAGAAGGAGTGTGAGTAATGGGGCACCTATGGTGAGTGCACATTTGAAAGCTGCCCATTCTCTAATCCTGGCCTGTGGGTTTTATTTGACTCTTATGTTCAGTTAACTTATGCTGAGAACTTCCAAGAATACACTGTGAGAAACTAAGAGACAAATTAGTTATCAAAGTTCCCCCTAGGACGGATGCACTCACTTTGCTTGACATGCAGTGAAGATAAATCCCAACTGTGTTAAGATCTGCAGATTTAGTTTCTGAATAGAGCAGAAGGGACAGGGGATAGCAAGGCTATTATAGCCCTGTTCTGGCTAGCCAGTGACATCAGCTTGTCTTCCCAAGTGCTCACATGTAGACCCTGCATTTTTGCTTACATTTGCCATTCATTGGTGGTTCACACTATTTTAAAACCAGCAGGTTTCAAGTCTCAGTAGCTATGATCCTCAGTAGTTCTTCCTAGGACATCATAGCTTCCAGCAATTCTCTCAGCCTATTCTTTCAGCCACATTTATCAGAAATGATAGTTTAATGGCACATTTCCTAAGCAGTGACACATCAAAAATATGGACTGAGCACATTCTGCACACAATGTTGAAAGCATGCACCTTCGCAAATCTACATTGAATTCATAAAGAAGCTTTTAATACGGAAAATGTGCTCTTACCATCTCTAGAGTTCAGTGTCCAGCCACATCCTAGCAGAAGTGTAGGGATGAACAGTTTTGCTACAGAACAGTGTTCTGACATTTCTGCTTGTCTTGTGCTAACATTCCTGTGAGCTCTCATTTTACACAGAGGCCAGCAGAGGCTGGGCATTCTTTGTCAGACTGTCCATGACAGCCTTAGAGAGAACTGATCTGTCTCGATAGGTCCTACCATAATGACAGCATGGCCAACAACAACACCTGAAAGCTAAAAATCCTGCAAAGAGCAAAACCATGAGAAAGTCAGGGAAATTCAGACTCCATCCTGTATCTTTGTTTTTTCTAGAAGTCATAAGTGTAGCTATCTTCCACAGCATTTTTGTATCTCTCAGGTCTGTCACTGTCTCAGCCTCTGCTGTTAGAGTGTTGGTGATTTCTTTTTTGTAATTTTTTTTCACCTGGAAAGTGCTGTATGTTAATGTACTTATTCCAGAATAGAAATGATGCCATATATTCTGGGGTTGATGCTGTTCTACTCTGTATGAGTTACAGAATCTGGAAAGAAGCAGCATAACACCAGAAAGTGATCTTTTAGTAGCTAGGTATCACATTGCCATACATGATTTTCTTTCTGTCTACAATACTTCACAAGTATCTGCATCATGTTGCAGTCTCCAGCCTGGGTTCCACTTTGCACTATTTCCTCAGCATCTGGTCTATGCAGATTTATGAATATGGATGGAATTAGACCTTTCCCTTCTGAACAACAGCTCACCTAAACACTTCAAGCACTGGTAAATGCACCCAGTTAGTCATTGGTAATCTCTGCAGCACAAATACTTTGTTCATGGAACTCAGATTGTACAGTGCTCCCTGTCGCTTCTGTAGAACACAGATAATCTGATCTATCTCTTCACCTGGGAATTTTGCCCTGTCTGATAAGTAGGAGTTGAGTGCTCATCTCACCATAGGCTACAACGTAGACAATATGGAAAAAGTCATAAATTTGGAATATTGAGCTTCTCAGCTAAAATTCTCAGGATGATGAAAGGAATCTTAAATATGCTGCTGGAGGTGTGATTTGACAGAAAAGGCTGTTAAAGCTGATGAAGGATCTCATTGCCTACTAGAGAACTATAAATTACCTAACTCAACAGAACAACCTACAAAAAAAAAAAAAAGCACATACTTTCATATATGTATGTTTATGTGAATAAACTCTCTCCACTTTTGCAGGGGATGAGAATTTAATACCATTGGTGGCAATCTTCAGGAAAAGCAGCATGGAAGAGATGGGCAAGCTCAGTGCAAAGGAGGAACCTACTTATCTTTTGGAAAGCACCCTCCATTTGGTGGGGAGATTCTATGGATCAGAATATTCTGTTTTGATGTCCACCAACTGGATGCACACCTGACAAAATGTCTATGAAATCCACGGTGTAGCTGGTCCAGAATGGCTGAATTGTTAAAGGACCTAATGAGAGTAACAAAGGTACTGAATGCTATTGTGAGGGTGACCTTGATGTGCTCCTTCAAAGACTCAGCTCAGCTAACTTCCTGTACTAGAATTCACTGCTGCCAAGGTTATAATTAATACCACACATACTGAGACCCAAGAAGGTGCCTTCTAGGTCTTTGCTGGTTGATTCCCAGATGGTCCACCTGGGTTTGCTTCTCTCTGGGCAGAAGACCAATGGGCCTGAAAATGGAGGCTGGAGGCTTGCAATCATGCTTCTTTTCCTGATATTACAACTGACCAGGAGGTCCAGGTCACTTTGGTCAATGGTTGAAGGAGTGGAGGCTTGAAGGTGGTTCCATGACAGTGACATGGAGATACTACTCCTGGAATATCTTTCTAACTAGGTAGGTTATAAGGGTGCTGCTCCTGCTGCTCTAAGAAGCAGAGCAGGGAGTGCGGTTTTCACTGGGCCACAAACTCAAGCGCCTTTGATGGTGCTCGACTGTCACCACCCTCTTTCTCCCCAGCTCATGCTCACTGGACAAAAGGGAATGGAAATCACATTGTGGAGACTTACAGAAAGTGGGATGGGATCACTTTTCAGCAATCTTGGATGGCATCCCTCCAGCACTTTGACCACACCATGTATCTGTGCAGGACCATCTGTATCCAGGGATATCTCTCATTCTCTTTTAACTGTGCTGTGGTTTCCTTCTAGTCCCAGTGGGTTCCAGACCCTATAGGGATGGAAACAGAAGTGGTAGGAAGTCAATGTCTGGATCCATCTCCCTCTTTGTTTTGCATCAGGGCATAGCTGCCTTTTTCAGCAGATACCTGTTCCCAAGGACATGTAGTGTCTCAGTTGCCCCATGCTTGGACAGAGGAAATTGGCCAGTTTTCTGTGGCCTAACTCACTGAGAACTGTGGAGCTAAATTTGTTTGGAGTCTGGATCTGGTAAGTCAAATTACAGAGTACTCTTTGCAAGAAGCTGGAATGCCTAATAGGCCATGTAACAAAAATTTATCAGTTTTGTGGGAATGATAATCCCTATGAACTAAAACATATCCAAAGCAGTTGGTGTGTATCCCAGAGCATATTCCAAGACATCTATTTGAGTTGTCCATATGACCAGGATTTTTAAATCTATGGAAGAAAAATCTTCAAGTTAGTTTGCCTGCAAATATGAATTAATAAAATCTTTATCTTCCATAAAGAACATGTGGGGGAAAGGGTAAAAGTTTAGATCTTGTTTTCTTCTCTCCCTCCTTTTTCCTCTCTTTTCTGTATTGTTTTCTTCTCTTGTTTTATTCTTTCTTTTTCTAGTCTCTCCAGATCCATTCTGTAGGGTAAGGTTGGTTTCCTTTTGAAAACTGCTGACAGCTAATGCTCCATTTTTGTGAGCAGTGTGCATGCACCCAGTGCTGCAGTATACAGTTTTCCCTCTATACCACTGTTTAATGTTACCTATTAAGATCTTCAGGGGAGAAGCTTCAGCTTGATACTTAATTTAGTTGGTGTGAAAGAGAAAGTAGGCATGTGCTAAATGGCTGAGACCCAAGCCAAGGGTTATGCAGTACGGATGCAACCACACAATTCTGGTAGTCACAGGCACTGAAGGTTGGCTGCAAGGCATCCTGTATCATTTTGCAGATTTATTTAGCGTTACAGACACAGTCTTTGTAGTTAAATATACATGCGTTCAAAGAAGCAAGCAGGTTTATGAACCAAGACTTCTCTTTACAAATACCTATGAAAGACTGTTGATTTTTCCTGTATCTTTTAATTTCATTCGTATTATAATTTCTACTGATTTGTCCAGTATAGTCATCAGCCTCACCATAATGTATATCCCTTGGTTTCCCTGTAAGCCCCTTTAATACCATGGGATTACACTGGTCACCTACCAGTCCTGTGATATTGAAATGGATTTTAATTAGGAGCTTACACATGTTCGGAAGCTTAGCAACTTCATTTTTTAGTTGCTCTAGCATTTTGGACATCTGTATTTGAGAAATAAGAAAGAAAGAAAGGAAGGGCTCTTCGCAATGAGACTACTAACCTGGTGAGAAGGGTGTAAAATCAGCTCCATTACGGGAACAAGACTTAAGCCCAGAAGTTGCAGAGGAATAGCTGCAAATGTAGGAATTTTGCAAGGGAGAAGGGGAACACAGTCAGAATCATGGGGATTTGGTGGGATAGTATGCACTACTAGAACATGGTGATAGGAGGATATGGATTGTTTAGGAACAATAGACAGGGAGGATGAGGAGGATTTGTGCTTTATGGCAAGTGCTTCTTCCTTGTGCAAAGCTCCAGAATGATCTGTCAGAGAGAGGAGGAAAATGAGGGATATTGTGATGTGGTCTGTTATAGACCACCCAACCAAGGCAACATAGTAAAGGATTATTTCTACAGCTTTAGAAAGGCAGAAGTCCCCTCAGCCTCTTGGAAGATTTCAGCCATCTGGACATCTGCTAGGGGGGCAACAGCACCGGGAAGCTAATGCCCAAAGTTCTTAGACTGTGCTAATGACAATATCCTAGTGTAAATACTGGATGGGCAATGCTGAGTATTGGAAGCAGGGTTAAATATTATCCCAGATGACAGCTCAGGCTGCAGCAACCACATGATGACTGAGTGAAGGATCTAGTGGAAAGCTGAGGAGGTAAGCAGCAGAATTAACACTCTACAGTTCATAAGACTGGAATTTGTTGTATTTAGGGAACTGCTAGTTAGAACACACTTGGCAGCAGCTGTGAAAGAGAGCACTGCTCAGGAGAGATCGTTAGGGTTTTAAGGAAAATTATGGACACCTCAGGAACAAACTACCTTGTTCTGCAGGAAGACTGGGATTTTGATCTTAGCTAAGCAGCAAACTTCTTGAGCTAAAACACAGAATTGTGTAAGAGGTTCAGGCAAGGACTAGTAGGAATATAAAACAATGCTTGGGCACTTAGAGACATTAAGCATAAGGGTTCTGCATGAATGCTGCAGAAGGGAGTTCAAAGAAAATATCTATCTACTGCTGAATGTGGAAGGCCACCTACTAAGAGATGATAGAGAAAGCACTTAAATATGTAGCACATTTTCTGCATCAGTCTTTATAGATAAACTTGTCCCCAGGCATCTGCTTCTTTCAATGGAACATGAGAAGGAAAGGGGTAACCAACAGTGGGTAAGTCCTAACCTGTTACCTAGTGAAGCTGGAATTACTAACAGAAGCTGGATGTATTAATACCTAGGGGGTGGGTTTGTCTCATTAAAGGGTGTTAAAGGAGTTCACCCATGTAATTGCAAGGCCTGTGTTTATCATTAATGAAAATTGATGACACACAGGGATGTTCCCATATGACTAGAAAAAGGCTAATGTTACGCCCATTTTTTAAAAAAAAGCAGTGAACCTGTAATCTGCTCAGTTTCACTTTAGTTATTTGAAAGATCACAAATACGTCGTTGGTATTTATTGCTAAGGATGTGAAGGACTAGACAGTAACTGAAAGCAGCCAACATGTATCTAACAGGCAGTGTAATCATACTTGATTAACCTGACTGGTTTCTATGATGAAGTGACTGTTTTCTTTTATCAGTTCTTTTCTGGCAATCTTTGACCTGGGCCTCTACTATGGTACCATTAACTGTTCCTCAGTCTATTAAAACTTAACCACTTCCCTTTGATTCCTTATTTGTATGTGCTTTAAAACACAATTATGTAGAATTTTGAGGGCTATTGTAACTCCTCCAAGGATGTTCTATTACATATATTGCCACAGATCAATCCTTAAACAGCTTTATTTTTAACTATGTCCAAGTCTGTATTTAAACCGTGTAAGCCAACACTGCTTTTCCTTTATACTCTAACTAGTGGTGTCATGAAGCATTTGTTGACAGTGTCTGCACATACAGTTTTGGTACTACAATCTAAAATAACACTTGCCCATTTATGTGGAGTAGTAGTAGGGTCTCCTATTAGTGTCACATTCATTGCTCTAGCAGTCTGCTAGTCCTCTCAATTGCAGTTAGTGTTACTGTCCTGAGGACAGCTGTTAAGAAATGAGGAGAGACTTCTGAAGGGCCTGAAGCAGGAAACTTGAGGGACCTGAATTCCCTGAACAGCATGAGCATGGAAAAACATTAACACAGGACTTCAGTGCTGGACATGCCAAGAGCTAAAAGGAATCAGCTTGACAAGTTCCACTTCTCTTGAGTGTAGTCTGCTTGGTATAAATTTGCTGTTCAACCAAAAAAGGAAGACAAGGCAGTATATGTTCCCAATACCTTTCTCCAAGAATCTGTGCATGGCAGCTGGACACAGAGGGAAATTTGGCAGGCCTCTGTTCCTCTATAACAGATCATTTTGTGAAGGTTGTGTGACTGAATAAGATATCAAATGCCCTGTACACTGCTGTTTTGCACTGGACAAGAATTCAAAATTACCATACTAGTCCTCTGGTAATGGGCAGCTCTTCTTCCTAATCTATGTGAAAATATTAGCCTTCTGAGAGATTCAGCTATCTCTGTACCTTGTGTAGTAAGGTCTGGGTTTGGATTCCAGTCTGGGGCCCAAAATGTGGGTGCTGTAGTGCCAGAGCACCCTTAGAAGGGGCTCCTACAGCACAGGGCATTATCTGATGCTGTATATTACACTGGACACAAGACATTGTTTTTCTGACTCTTCCCTGTATCATTTGCTAAGCTATTTTAATGATTGAAATGTAAATGACCAGGAGAAGCATGTGTTTAGATATGGAGAGTCTGAAGCGGTTTAAGTCATTGCAACCTTTGCTAAAACTAGATCAGGTTGGACTACCAGCAAATCTCCTTTTCCCAATCCATGAGCATTACGTAGGACTGGCTGCTACCTCTAATGATTTGGTACAAAGCTTTCTGGGACTGTGAATGTGTAAATAGGTATATTTTGATGGCAAGGCAGTGCTAGATTGAGGGTTTCTCAGAATGCATAGTATCTCGAACTATATGCTGAGGTGATATGTGTGATTGTATGTATGAACATGGCAGGGCGAGCCACGTTGTTTTGGGGAGTTATAGGTAAGGAAGGGCTATTGGTGCCTCTGGAACTTCAGATTTGACAGAGGGAACTGATTATTTATGCAGACAATATAGGAGCAAACATAGGTCAAATGCAAATAATAAGAGTGTGAACAGTGAGAAAGCAGTTTCTGGGAAATCACTTTTTATGTGAAGTATGCACAAAACCATCTATTATCTATGCATGCCCAAGTATGTATTTTAATTTGATACCTCAGAAGTCAGCTCAGGATCCTATTCAAGAGCTGTGTTTCAAAGCAGAGTCTCCCATTACTTCAGTTCAGGCTTCTAACTTGCTGTATTTCAAACTCTGTCAGCTATTAAGAGTGTCCCACACAGAAACCTCAGCTGTACTACGTTTTGACTTCTACTTTTTTAGAAAATAACACTGAAAAGTGTCTCAAGAACAATTATTTGCTGTTTCTTGACATACTTTTCCTGTTTTTCTCAATGCATGTTTTTTCAAAGCATCACAAACATTATCATCACCATTGCATGACTGAAAAGTTGTGGTATAAGCATACCCAGGAAACTCCCATGGGCCAATCAGCAAATCACTGAGAAAGCCAGCAATAGGAATCGCAAGTCCCTGCATCCAAGTTCTCTAAGTGCCTTGAGTAGTCTAGATTCTCTTCTTAACACTCTTGGCAAATTATTTATAGATGTATTCACAGAGTAAGATATAAAAATGTTCTAATTATATCATTCAAATCAAATGAAAATTATGCCCTTAGTTTGCCAGACAATGCTTTGCCAAAGAAGGTTTGCCAGAAATGTTTTGACCGAAGAAAGGGGGAGCATCTGCAGCATCTGCAGATGAGGCACTATAAAATCTCCCAGAGACTAGTCTGACCTGTTTCCAAGGAAGGCTCCAAGGTAAGTGCATGGATTTTGTGAGCTTAAAGAAAGAGGACAAAGCCCTTGCAATTCCCTGTTCCATTTCTTCTGCCTCTTGCAGCCATTCCCATGAGGGAGTGCCCATGCAAACAAAACTTTTTATTATCATTTTAAATGCATGTCTGATCTTCAGCCCATGATTTGTCTCTGGAATTCCATGCAGCAATAAGAAACAGTTGCCATTCCTATTTTACAGAGTTGGTCAGTTTCCAGGATACAAGCCTTCTCCAAAGGTAATACCTCGAATAATGTATTCCTAGACTGCAGGAATATTATACAGAAAGTTATAAAGCTGCATGACTTATTTTCATAAATCTGCTTATTTCTGCTGACTTTAGTATAGTTAAGACTGTTGAAAATAGGGAAGATCTGAAAAGTGAAGTAATTTTGAATTTTGAGCACATAAGGTAATACTTTTAACAAGAAAGTACTCTGTTGAAGATGCATCATTCATAATTAAGGAACAGAACAAACATGGATTTCCTCTGGCTGTGGATTCCTTTATGTGAAGACTTCAAACCTGGGTAGAATTCATAAAATTACAAAAATGTAGTAAATATTCTAAAGAATTTCTGTTTATCGTTCCAAAGCCTATGTGGTTTAGATGACTAAGTCTTACTCATTGGTGGGACTAGGATAATTTTAAGTTCAAATCAAAGTGGATTTGAGTGGTTGCTTCTAAGAGAGTTTCGGGAAGAGTAGCTAGCACTTCACTAGCCTAAGAGCCGGGAGTTTTCTCACTTATATGGATTATATTATTTTTGACATTGATCCATAACCTTGTTTTCCCCACAAGACACATCTGTTGTTGTGCCTTCACTAAAGTGCAGACATGGCTTCCGGAGATGCTGAGATGGCTGTCTTCGGGGAGGCAGCTCCTTACCTCCGAAAGTCAGAGAAGGAGAGAATTGCTGCCCAGAACAAGCCTTTCGATGCCAAAACATCAGTCTTTGTGGCCCACCCTAAAGAATCCTTTGTGAAAGGGACAGTCCAGAGCAAAGAAGGAGGGAATGTCACTGTCAAGACTGAAGGTGGAGAAGTGAGTAAGACAAGGCTGAAAGACACCATTTGATTCTCTCAGCTGTTAGTTGACATACATAGATATTTTGCTTCCTTTGTAGACCCTGACTGTAAAGGAAGACCAAGTCTTTCCCATGAACCCTCCTAAGTATGATAAAATTGAGGACATGGCCATGATGACCCACCTCCATGAACCTGCTGTGCTGTACAACCTCAAAGAGCGTTACGCAGCCTGGATGATCTACGTAAGTACCATCAGCAGTCTTCCTCTGGTTAGCTGGGAGGAACTGCTCTGGCAGCCTAAGTGGAAGCCAACGTGCTGTTTCCCTTCCCCACAGACCTACTCGGGTCTCTTCTGTGTCACTGTCAACCCCTACAAGTGGCTGCCAGTGTACAACCCAGAGGTGGTGTTGGCCTATCGAGGCAAGAAGCGCCAGGAGGCCCCTCCACACATCTTCTCCATCTCTGATAATGCCTATCAGTTCATGCTGACTGGTGAGTGCTCGATTTCTTTTGAATATCTCTGCAGTGATCTATCTGTAGAGGAAAATTCTCTGGAAATATGATGCAACACTTAAAATAGTATGTGTGATAAGAATGGAAGATTAATACACTTAACTGTAATTGTCTGTTTGAACTGAGCATCTGTGTTCCCATTAGAATCAATAAAGACTTGGACCTAATGAAAACAATCTAGAAGGAGGAAATTCATTGGAAAGAAGTCACCTATTTTATGGTGTAGAATTTACTGACTGTAAGGGGATCATACATAAATGCATAAGTTTATGTACCATAATCACTAAACCGATGTCAGCTGTAGCCTACAAAGTACAATAACATCACACCTATCCTATAAATTATGTGTATACATTCAATTCAAATTTAGAAGTATCAGTGCTAACAAGTAAAACAGTATCTCTGCATTGAACAGGTACATAAGCTTAATAAGATTAGTATGCAAATGGGGTTCATGATGGAAAAGATGAGCAGGTGGTCTAAAGTACATGCAGCCCTTAATGATCTATGTAACTCCTATACTGATCTGTGCAACTGTAAATCAGTTGTACCTTATAGTCAAAAGTAAACTTGAGAAAAAATGTCAAGGGAAATATAAAGCTTTAATGATTTAAACTGAACAGCTTAAAAAAAATCTCATTTCCTTTTTTTCTTCTACCTCTTACTTTCTCTTTCTTATGTGTGTAGTAAAATCACAATTGTGCAGGATTTTAGGCCTTCTATTCTTGATCTTTTGTTGCAAAACAGGAAATAGATACAGAATACAAAAGGAAAATGTAATCTTCTCTATGTATGATCTTGGGAATACAGCATTTCTGTATATATAGGGGTAAAAAAAATAATAAATAAATCCGTAAGATCACTCAGGAAAGTTTTAGTTTCAGAAGAATTCACATGCTGCTAGAGCTCAAGCTCAATATTTTTGTTACATTTACTTACAGTATAAGAGTGAAATAGGTAGCCTGATAAGTCAGTGTCTTGAAAGGCAGAAAGCTACAAAAGCTGTTCTGAAGTGATGTCCTAATTGATCCAGTTGATAACATCTGAAGTATGTGGGAGTATCAAAAGTACCCACCAGAATTACCATGGCTTTTCACTATCTTTTGTTCCTGCATTCTCTGGAAGTTTTACTTTGTATTTTTCTCCTAATTTCTGAGCTATTTGTTGTCCATGACCACTAGGAAGAGTTTTCCTATCTCTGTCTTTTCACAGATCGTGAGAACCAGTCAATCCTGATCACGTATGTATGCTGCTCTGATCCCTGTGGGGCTGCCCGGTGACAGGGATCTCCTGCCTAACCACATGCTTTCTGCATCTCTTTGGTTGCACAGCGGAGAATCCGGAGCAGGGAAGACTGTGAACACAAAGCGTGTCATCCAGTACTTTGCAACAATTGCAGCAGGTGGTGACAGGAAGAAGGACGCTCACTCAGGCAAAATGCAGGTGAGTCAAGAACAACAGATTGAACATTTGGCATGTAACTGTTGCGTCAACTAAACACTATAACCGAATAATTATCATCCTGCAGGGAACGCTTGAGGATCAAATCATCAGCGCCAACCCACTGCTGGAGGCCTTTGGAAATGCCAAGACTGTGAGGAACGACAACTCCTCACGCTTCGTAAGTTGTTGCTTTGGACAAAATCCCTCCTCATTATAACAGTAGTGATGGGATAGTGATATTCTCACATAAGGAGAAGAGATGTAATGTATTTTGGCTGAAATGCTGCTGCTTCTTCTTAACAGGGCAAATTCATCAGAATCCATTTTGGTGCCACAGGCAAACTGGCTTCTGCTGACATTGAAACTTGTAAGACACTCTCCTGGCCTGATCCCTTTCCTTCCTAAGTTCCCACCTCTGTGTGCCTTCCTATGCCTGAATCTTTCTCCCTTCCTTGCAGATCTGCTGGAGAAGTCCAGAGTCACTTTCCAGCTCAAGGCAGAAAGAAGCTATCACATATTCTATCAGATCACCTCTAACAAGAAGCCAGAGCTAATTGGTAGGAAGATCAGTAACATTTTGAAGGAATTTCAATGAGCAACAGTAATCTGGAAAGCTAAAGTACGCCCAATTTTCCTCTTTTGTTGCTTTCAGACATGCTCCTCATTACCACCAACCCTTATGATTTCCAGTTTGTGAGTCAAGGTGAAATCACTGTTCCCAGCATTAATGACCAGGAGGAGCTTATGGCTACAGATGTAAGTAACTTACCAAACAGGTCATGTAGTGGATGAGTCCTGGTACTCATACATTTACTTACTGTTTCTGTTGCCAGACTGCCATTGACATACTTGGCTTCACTGCTGAAGAGAAGACATCCATCTACAAGCTGACGGGGGCTGTCATGCACTATGGCAATCTGAAGTTCAAGCAAAGGCAGCGTGAGGAGCAGGCAGAGCCAGATGGCACAGAAGGTATCAGCAGAATAAGCACTCTCCAAAAGAGATTCTTTGTCATCAAATGAAGGACTTTAGGCAGTTCATGCTTTAAGTATGCAAATCTGTAAACTAAAAAAAAAATAATTTGTTTAGTGGCTAGATAGCCATTATGACATGTATCTCGTTCAATGATACCTGTGATTTTATTCTGTTACTACTTAATAATGAAGAGATCTGGCCCTGGCAGGAAGTGAGGAAGCATGGATGTCAATTCCTGTAACATTATTATAGTCATAAGTATTTTTAAGATTAAAATTTTATTAACATTATTACTAACAATATTAACACAGTAATATTATTAGTTTATTTGGAATACACCTTGTAATCTGCTGTATAGTGGAATAGCTGCTGTAAAGAATCTGCTGTACAGTGGAATATAGTGCTGTAAAGTGTCTCAGTCCTTACAGAGCAGGAGACTATGCTCCTATGCACCTTCACCTAATAGGGGGAACTTCAATTTGAGATGTGTATTTGATTAGTCTCTGCCACAGCAGTAAGTACAATCCATGCCTCCAGCTCTGAGCGATGATCCTCTTGGTATAAGACTAAAAAGAAAGTGTGAAGTCCCTTAGTCATGCCTGAAAAAGAATGAAAGCAATGAGTTCTCTTGGAGGACATTTGTGCAAACCGAAGCTCAGGAGGTGTTGCATACTCTGTATCCTGAAGCCACAGAGAAATTAGCTTTGTTGCTTTGACTCAGATATTTTTGTGCATTCTGTAACAGTAAACATTTCCTGTTGCTTTTGAGACAGTCCCTCAAGTATAAAATTTTAGGAATTCCCAATATTTATTTCTGTCTCTTTTCTGGTATTTAGTGGCTGACAAGGCTGCCTACCTGATGGGTCTGAACTCAGCTGACCTGCTGAAGGCCCTTTGCTACCCCCGAGTCAAAGTTGGGAATGAATATGTGACCAAGGGTCAAACCGTGCAGCAGGTAAAAGAAATGTGGTAAACTGGAACATGCTTTGATGGGTCCTGTTGATCTCCTCTATTGTATATAGTTATATACAACTCCAAACCTTTCTCCTTGCTTTAGGTGAACAATGCAGTTGGTGCCCTGGCAAAAGCTGTCTATGAGAAGATGTTCTTGTGGATGGTTGTTCGTATCAACCAACAACTGGATACAAAGCAACCCAGGCAGTACTTCATTGGTGTCCTGGACATTGCTGGCTTTGAGATCTTTGATGTAAGGAAAATAATTATCCCAGCATTTTCATTGATGTTACAATTGAGAATAAAGGAAATTTTGAGATACATTTTTAGTAGCAATTTGTAACTTCCTACACTTATTTGCAAGGCTTTCAGAATCTAATTTTTACCCCCCCCCCCAAAAAAAAATCATAATAGAAAACTAGTCTCCTAACCTCCTCTCTTTTCTAAATGAAAAGATTATCCTAGACAGGTAACATAGGAAAACTACAAAGGAAGAAGCCTTGTATTTGAAGTATAACCCATGGTGAATTAGGATTACACAAGAAAACACCAGGCTACTATTACTAACTCTTAAAAACTCTGCATGTTGTTTTGGTTTTTTTTTTTTTTATGTCTGGCAGTTCAACAGCTTTGAGCAGCTGTGCATCAACTTCACCAATGAGAAACTGCAACAGTTCTTCAACCACCACATGTTCGTGCTGGAGCAGGAGGAGTACAAGAAGGAAGGAATTGAATGGACATTCATCGACTTTGGGATGGACCTGGCTGCCTGCATTGAGCTCATTGAAAAGGTATCCTTCCTGTTCAAGTCTATTATATGTTGGATCTTCCACACTTGCCAAGAGACATATTGAAGAAGCATGTGAGAATATTCTAGCTTTTTCAAATCTGTACTGTGTGAAAATGGCAACAGGGTGGAAGTGGTTTTGGAGATGATACTCAGATATCAAGATTTTGGTGAGAGCATTCATTTCCAGATTACAAATTGAAGTTATATGAAAGACTGCCATGTTCTGTAAGTACCTATCAGTACAGAGGTTTTACGGAGAGGACTGTATTTCACAATGATGTATTCGCATTTTTTTCATTGGCAAAGGCATTTACATAAGTTTGAATGAAACTGCAACACTGAAAAAAGTAGAGACTTAGTTAGCTTTCTTCAACTTAGTGTTGTAAAACACATGAGAACAGCTTTCTCTTCTGACTCCAGCAACTTTCCAATCTTTCTCCTTTCTAATGTCTTTCTCCTTCTTGTTGTAATTTCTTCCAGCCCATGGGTATCTTCTCCATCCTGGAAGAGGAGTGCATGTTCCCCAAGGCAACTGACACCTCTTTCAAGAACAAGCTGTATGACCAGCACCTGGGCAAGTCTAGCAACTTCCAGAAGCCAAAGCCTGCTAAAGGCAAGGTTGAGGCCCATTTCTCCCTGGTGCACTATGCTGGCACGGTGGACTACAACATCACTGGCTGGCTTGAGAAGAACAAAGACCCTCTGAATGAAACTGTCATTGGATTGTACCAGAAGTCATCTCTGAAGACACTGTCCTTCCTTTTTGCCAACTATGGTGGAGCAGATGCAGGTCAGCTTTGTGGAAATTGTACTATCAGTGTAGGACAATGTTGAAACAATTAAAACAGTGAACGCTGAACTGCTTTTTTTATTTTCTTCCATTTGCAGAGGCTGGTGGTGGCAAGAAGGGTGGCAAGAAGAAGGGTTCTTCTTTCCAGACTGTATCAGCACTTTTCCGGGTACAGTAATGCATTTTTTCTCTCTTTGTTATATGAAGGAAGGAGGGGATCTAATATTAAATTTCATAGGGAATAAGGTAACATTTTGTATTGCTGTAACAGTGGTAAAATTCCACATCAGGTTTTCCAGGATCAATTTCATATTGCTAACATGTCATGTTCAAAAACAAGCATTCAGTCTTCAAAGATTATAAAAATTAAATAATTTCTTTTGTTTGGTTTCTGTTTGGAGAGGATATTATTCAGATCTTTATGTTTGAGTTAGACTAGAACTATAATTTTAGCATTCCTGCATTTTGGTGAGGTTGATATGTTAGGGAATTGGAAATGCCCTTACAAACATTCTCCAAGGACGTATTCTTCTTACCTGAAAAAAAAGACCAACCTACTTTTTAAACTCAAGAAGATAACTTTAAATGGCAGAACTTGAAAACCCTAAAAGTTAATTACACTGTGGGAAAATGTGAAATCGTGTATGCTCTTACTGGATCACTAGTAGTATTTCAGTCTTTAAAAATGGTGTTCAGTATCTTCAAATAATAGAAATATTTGGTTTCTGGGGCTTTATCTGTGTTCTGAAACCCAGCTAATACTGAGATGTTGTAAAGGTATCAGCATGGGTTTGATGCATCAAATGCTGGACATAGGCCACTCACATTACTAATTGGTCCCTCTAGGAGAACTTAAACAAACTCATGACCAACCTACGGAGCACTCATCCTCATTTTGTGCGTTGCATCATCCCAAATGAAACAAAAACACCTGGTAAGATGCTCAAGCAGAAAGAGAACTTGCTCTGATACAGCCATTCGCCTCTGCAATGGAAACTGGTTTTCATTTATGGTCTGTATTGCTAGGTGCCATGGAGCATGAACTGGTACTTCATCAGCTGCGCTGTAACGGTGTGCTGGAAGGCATCAGGATTTGCAGGAAAGGTTTCCCCAGCAGAGTGCTCTATGCTGACTTCAAACAGAGGTAAGAGCACTGCACTTCTCAGCATCATTAAAAGGAACTCTGGTTCATTCATGTGGCTTCATTCAGGCTGCACTCTGTTGTCAAAAATTATAGATACATATGGGTTGCTGGGGTTCAGTAACTAGTGTGTGTTGGGTAGGAAAGAACACCCTTTACTTCTCCTTTCTCTTTTGACAGATACAAGTTGCTTAATGCCAGTGCAATCCCAGAGGGACAGTTCATTGACAGCAAGAAGGCTTCTGAGAAGCTTCTTGCATCAATTGATGTGGACCATACCCAGTACAAATTTGGTCACACCAAGGTACAAACCTTTCTTGAGTCATTCATTACATCTCTGTGCTCTGCGCTACCTGCCGGTGATATGCAGCAACGTTCCCTTTCTCAAGGTGTTCTTCAAAGCTGGGCTGCTGGGACTCCTGGAGGAGATGAGGGATGAGAAGCTGGCACAGCTCATCACCCGCACACAAGCTGTGTGCAGGGGCTACCTGAGTAGAGTGGCGTATCAGAGAATGGTGGAGAGAAGGTAGACATTTCTCATCTTCAGTTAAACTCACTGTAGTTGGAGGAAAGTGTTAACACTTGTTCTACTGAAAATATTCAATGTACATTTTTATTATTCTTCAGGGAGTCCATCTATTCTATCCAGTACAATATTCGTGCATTCATGAATGTGAAGCACTGGTCCTGGATGAAGCTGTTCTTCAAGATCAAGCCATTGCTGAAGAGTGCAGAATCTGAGAAGGAGATGGCCACTATGAAGGAAGAATTTGAGAAAACCAAAGAAGAGCTTGCAAAGTCTGAGACAAAGAGAAAGGAGCTGGAGGAGAAAATGGTGAAACTGACGCAGGAAAAAAATGATCTGCAGCTCCAAGTGCAGGCTGTGAGTTTGTAACCATTAATTTATCACTCAGAAAAGGGGTTATGCATTCAGACTGTTAGTTACAAAGTAGAAGGTCAGACTATAGAAGACCAAAAGTCAAATATTTGGTGAATTATCTTTCATGTGTGCGTGAAGTTGAAGAAACAAGTGTCTGGCAGTGGCATTGTGAGCACTCTGAGAGTCAGTAAAAAGAAGCAGAGAGCTCAAAGGGGGAGTCAGTGGTCTTGCCTTCATAGGGAGGAGGCAGATTCAGCTAGCTAACATGAAATACTCAGAACAGAGTTTTGCCTGAACCCTCAACTCTCTCTGAGATGGTGATTCCTTCAGGGGGTATCTCCATTTCACCAGGATATAGAACAATGAATTAATTTTGGAGTGTAAATGCAAGCCAGAGTTGAAGCGGTACTTGTAA